CGCCGGGCCCAGGGCAGAGGTGGGGGGGGGGGGCGGTGTACAAGTGCCACAGCAGCTTCCATGTCAGGAGCTGGGACTCGGGGAAGTGGAGAAGTGGTTGGCCAGGGCCCATGAGGAAGCAGACACAAGCATCGGCCCAGTGACCATTACCTTCTCCTTCTTGGCCAGGAAGAAGAGGACATCATCATAAACCTCTTTTCGATCCCTCTCAGGGACCACAGCCCAGACCTCAAGCTCCCCAAAGGTCTGTTCCGCCCGCCTGTGGAGCATATGAGCTGTGAGCAGGTGGGGAGGTAACAGAGACCCCAGGCCTTTGTGTTCTCTGGTTCCCGGCCCAGCCCAGCCCAGCCTGGAGCCCTGACCGGTAGCGGGTGGTGGAGGTCATGCGTTCATGCTGCTCCAGGAAGTGCTGCAGGGTCTGCTTGGCCTCCTTGGCCCTCAGCCGGGCCTCCTCCTTCTCCTCCTTCTCCCGCTGCGCCTTGTAGGCATTGAACGCCTGCTTTTTCTCACTCAGTTTGGGCAAGGCACTGGGGAGAGGGCGGGGACAGAGAAGGCAGCCGCCTGAACTGCCTGCAGAGCTCACAAAGGAGGGTCACAGGACACAGGGAAGGGGCTCCACAGGGCTGCGTGGGGTCTGGACACGGGTGTGGCAAGCCCCAGGAGCTCTGAGGGCACAGATGTCTGGGATGTGGGTCAGCATGAGAGGGGGCGAGGGGAAGAGACATGGTTTCAAAATACGCTAACACTGGGTTCTTCTGCTTTGGAGTTCTCAAGTCACTATCAGACCTGTGCCCTACCCCACTCCCGTTTTTCCCAATTCAATTCAATGTGATTCAATTCAATTTAGCAAATATTTATTGAACCAGACACCTTTCTGTTTCCTTCTCTTGGAGGCCCTCCAGGTCTTCTCCCTTGCACCCCTGCCACGGCCTAAAATTTCCCTGACTATGGCTCCCCTTGAGCCTGAGTGTTGAGCTGGGGTTTGTCAGAGTCCCTGGCCAGCAGCTCTCATGAACAGACCCTGTAGGCCTGGCTCCCTCTGCCCAGGCCTACCTGTAACGGGGGTCAGTGACCACCATCTTCATGGCCTGTTCCCATGAGGCGTTGGACGGGACAGCCTGAAATGGAGCAGGTGGGGGTCATGGGGCCTGCCCACTTCCATCCAGCCCCTCTAGACCTCGAGCCCCACCCTGGCACCTTGTCCCTCAGCAGCTCCTTGAACGCCTGCTTTGCCTTCTCTCGGTTGCTCCAACTGAGGCCAGACCTCTCTGGTTCTGGCCTGGAGTCCTCCTCCTCCTGTTGGGGTGGCTGATGCTGTCCAGCAGAACTGAGGAGCAGAGAAGACTCAGCCAGGGCCCCAAAGCACAGCCTTCCCTGCCCTGAACTCTCAGCAACACACAACCCTCCATGCTCCCTAGCGCAGCCTTTTTCTGGCCTTCAGAGCCACGCCCAGATCTTCCTCCCCTGCCCTATCCCACCCTGCCTCACCCCTCCAAGGCAGCAAACAGGGGCTGAGCCAGGCTGGGAGCCCCGAGCTGAGCCAGAGAGCCCTGCATCTTCAGGAATGCTGGGGGTGTGCACAGCCCTCACCTGCTGGGGCCCTCCTCCAGCTGCTGTGGGAAGCCCTGCTCTGGGGGCTGGGTAGCCTCCGAATCGCAATCTTCACTCCCACCGGGCTCAGGTTCCAGAAGACCCGTAGGCATAGTAGGCACTGGGGTGGGGCCCGGAGGTATAGGTGGGGGGTCAGGCTGTGGCTGGGGAGGCTGAGGCTGCAGTGTCTGTGGCTGTGGCTGCTGTTTCCTGCAGGCAGGCCAAAAGGGCAGTGTCCAGTAGAACAGGGACAGAGGAAGCCAGAGGAGGTCTGGTCTCTGCATCCTGGGCCAGAGTAGTGGCTCCAGGAGACTGCAGGCTGGCTCCCCCTCCCAAGGAGGGCTGGGAGCCCCGAGCTGAGCCAGAGAGCCCTGCATCTTCAGGAATGCTGGGGGTGTGCACAGCCCTCACCTGCTGGGGCCCTCCTCCAGCTGCTGTGGGAAGCCCTGCTCTGGGGGCTGGGTAGCCTCCGAATCGCAATCTTCACTCCCACCGGGCTCAGGTTCCAGAAGACCCGTAGGCATAGTAGGCACTGGGGTGGGGCCCGGAGGTATAGGTGGGGGGTCAGGCTGTGGCTGGGGAGGCTGAGGCTGCAGTGTCTGTGGCTGTGGCTGCTGTTTCCTGCAGGCGGGCCAGAAGGGCAGTGTCCAGTAGAGCAGGGACAGAGGAAGCCAGAGGAGGTCTGGTCTCTGCATCCTGGGCCAGAGCAGTGGCTCCAGGAGACTGCAGGCTGGCTCCCCCTCCCACGGAGTAGGGACAGTGGAGACAATGGCCCCAAGAATGGAGGGCTAGGAGGGCAAGGGCCAGGCACTCACCCCACAGCCTCCTGTTTGACTAGAGCTGCAATGAGAAAGACAACGTGGTCAGTCACAGGATAGCAAGGGCCCAGAATCCCTGCTCAGGCCTACCCCCACCTGCCCCGGGACCCCTCACCCTCCAGGTCATCCAGGTCCTTGGGTCGTGTCCAGCAGGACTCCTTACTCTGGTTGTTATAGTAGTAAGGTTTGCCTGTGTCAGACTTGTATTCTTTCCAGGGACACTGGGACAGGAGCAGCTGCAAGAGGATGGGTGGGGACATCATGAGCTGGGCACGCTCTCCAGCCACCGTCAGGGAGCCAAGGGAGCCAGTGCAGAGGACACAGGAGTCTCTAGCCACCACCTAGCCTGGCTCAAAAGGAAGAAGGTGGACCCTGAGATCCTGGGGAAACATTTCCAGGGAGCATGGGAGTGTTTAGGGATGCTGGCCTCAGAGGAACCGTCATGAGCATGGTTAAGGGTCTTGGGGACAAGGACTTGAAGGGTCAGGGCAGCTGGAAGGAAGGGCCAGAGAGCCACACTCAGGACCTCGGCCTTGGACTTGAGCACGCTGGGCTTCTCCCACACGGACTGCTTGTCATCAGCATTGTAGTAGTAGATACGACCGTCAGGGGCCACGTGCTCACTCCACAGGGCCCTCTGGAGAGGGGGGCACAGAATGGTGGTCAAGGCTCCTTTCTCAAAGCTTCTTCGCCTCACCCAAAAGACTGAACCATCAGCCTCCCACTTTCAGCCTTTCTACCCAGAGACCCCTGAGCTGTAAGGACTCACCGGAGGGCCTGTCGCAGCCACAGCAGCTAGAAAAGAAGCCAAAGGAAACACACTAAGTCCTTGCTCCGACCCCCATCTTCTTCCCACCTGCTCCTCCCTTATTCCGTCCCAAGTAACATCCCCTAATCCCATCAACATCCCAGACTCCCTGGCATCCCAACAGGCATGGTCCAGGGTGGGCTCCAGTCCACGGCCCCCTCTCCCCTATACCCCCCAACCTCCGAGCCTGGGGGGAGCAGGCCCCCAGAAGACTCACAGCTGGCGGTGTCCGCACCCGGAGCCGTCTGCCGAAGAAAGAGGAGGGGGAAGGGTTGGGGCCAAGCCCAGTGGCCCCCAGGACCCAGGCCATGGGGGATGGAAAAGCAGGCCAGGCCAAGATCCATGTGTCCTGCTCCCAGGGATCTCTGCTCCCTAACAGGCTCCACCCCACCCCAGGGCCGAGGCTTCAGGACCCCAGGCAGGAATCACACAGCAGCTCCTTTCTTCTTTGTCATCAAGTGAGAGCATTGTGTTGAGTCAACGCCCGAGGCCCATCTCTTCACAAAGGGTGCCAAAGTCAACATGCACCCAGACTGTCTACAATGAGCAAGAGAGCAAGAAGGCAGAGTGGGACCCCAGGTGCTGCTGCCTCCTCCAGAGACGAGAGTGTGAAGAAGGTGCCATATTCCTGTGTCCACAGTGTGAGACTCTGAGGCTAAGGAGTGTCTGGCCCGAGCGTGTCCCTTAGGGAGCTGGGCAGCGTGGGGAGGAACAGAGAACGTGTGTGTGCCCGGGCATGAGCGAGCGCTAGACCTGCTGAGTGCCTGGCAGGTGAGGAGTCAGCTGTGGGAGTGGTACCGGGACCAGGTGGGCAGAATGAGAGAAGGGAAAGAACGGAGACCATGTCCCTGTACTCCGAGTCAGACCCACAGGACTGCAGGGCAGGGCCTGCCTCCTGCTAGCCTTGCTGCTTACCGCTGCGGTGACTGGCACCGCTGGCATCAGCATTCCTGGCATCATCGGGGGCACCATTCCTGGAATCTGTGAGTACAATGAAGACAAAACCAGCGACCAAGGTGAGGGCAGGCACAGGCGAGGCAGGGTCCAAGTCAGAGTGCCCTGAGGGGTCCTGAGAGAGCTTGGGGCCACGACCCTCACCAGGGTGCCTCCTCAGGAACCCCTCCTCCTTTGTGTGGGCTCAATGGTCCAGCAGTCAAACCCACATGGGCCAGGCCCAAAGCTCCCTTCACTCCCCAGGTTCTGAAGCCCAGATGTCCACTCTCACCTCCACCCCCAGATAAACTGACTGGGTTTCCTGAGGCCTCCGTGGAGGGGAGACAATTACCTGGGTGAGTGGTGGAGGCGCCCCCATTGGTGGCAGCATCGGGGGCAAGATGCCAGGTGGCATTGGGGGGATGGCTGGTGGTCTCTGGCTCATGGGGGGTAGCCCCATCGGAGGGAAGGGTGGGGGGATCCCGGGAGGGGGCATCTGGAAATGAGGAAGGGAAGAGAGACTGAACAGAGGCTGCCTTGTCATATGCAGGGAAACCTGCTAGGAAACACCCACCACCTCCCACCCTGACCCTCCATACTGGCTCCCCCGGCTCTGAGGCAACTGCGAGGCTTCAGTTTGAGAAGCACAAGGCGTGCGTGCAACTGCCTCGATCTCACCACAGACAAAGACCGAGAACTGGAGGCGTTCTCTGGGTCTGACAGGCAAGCACACAGCTCTAGAGCAGTGGGGGCAATGGGGAGGGAGTGTCGCAGCCCTGGACTACAGCTGAAGGGCTCCACCTCTTCAGTGATGTCCCCTAGAGGCCCTGATGTGAAGGGGCAGGAAGCAGGTGTCCAAGTAGTGGAGTTCCCAGTCCCCAGCCTCCCATCCCGTTTCCCCAACTCAGAACTGCCAGTCTGGTTCCAGCCCAGATGCTGTGGCAGCACCGCCTAGGTAAGGAGCAGTGAGAGCCGGCAGCCCCGCCCTGCCCTCACACTCCTCACTTCTACCTTCTGTCCTGGTGTCCCAAGGACAAGAAGACAAAGGGAGACCTGTCAACTTTATGGACTGAGAGCTCGACAGCAGCTCTCCCCACCCCAGTGCCCAAGCACAGCCATCCCTCTCTAAGGGCAGCAGAAATGACACAGAAACCGTGCCGGCGTTGCAGCAGTGGCTAGGGGCTGGGGTGCAGGCTGGAGAAGCCAAGCCCAGGGGAAGACATAAAACTTACGAAGGGTGGTGGCATCATGGGGGGCCCCGGTGGGAAGGGGGCAGGCGCTGCTGGGGGCCGGGGACCAGAATCGGGAACCGACTGTTGAGGGAGAGAAAAGTCATAGGACCCAGGATGGGCACAGAGATGGGCTCTTGCAGAGGAAAGCAGAAGGGGTGAGGATGAAAATGAGCACAGAGTTTAGAGGGAGGGTCTCCAAGCCCGATCGATTCCTTCCCGCCCCAAACTCTGAGCCCTGGGTAAGCCTGCTCTCTCCTGCCAGCCCAGGGCCACCTGGCTAAGCACTTTCAATGTCATCTTTATTCTGGAGGTTTCCATCTTGCCAAAGCCACAGGAAAGATAGGACGGAGCTCTAGTATCAGCACAGACTAGTTGCCAAGGCCTTTAATCCATCCTTCAGCCTGTGGGCAATACTGTGCCTCTGTGGAATCGAGTTACATCGGAGGTCTCTTTTACTCCCGAAGTATCCAGGGAGGGAGTGTTTCTCTACCCCAGTTAACCCAGTTATAGAAATTCAACCCAAAGTTCTGGAGACAGGAATCACTGCTAAGCCTTTACAGCACTAATCTCTCCTTTTCATGACGAGCTTCCTCCCTATCAGGCCTGCCCTGGTCACCCACTTTCTTCGACATCGTCCATTCCCAATCATACTTCACCTCTTCAGCTCTATCCCCACCCTCTCTGAGGCTATCCCTCCTCCACAAATCCCAAACTCTCCTCCCTGTGGATGCAGACTTAGAACAGCCCAAGCCTCTGTCCTGCACCTAATGGCTGACCACATCCCCTTGAGTGTTCAGCTTAAATAGCACTTTCTCTAGGAAGCTCCCTCACTCTGAATAGCTCCTCCCAATTTACTCTCCATCTGACCCCCTTTTCAGTTTCCTCATGTATACAATTTTGTAATCATCGTGTTTGTCTGAGTATACACTTCCCCCAACTAGAGGATGAGAACATTCCATGAGGGCGGGGTCATACCTGACTTGTTGAAAGCTGGATTCCTGGTACCTGCTACCATACCTGGCACATAATAGGTACTCAATAAATATTGAATGAATGAAAGAATAAGAGAAGGAACAAATCTCTCTATAGAAGCTGCCAATTCTAAAAATTTATTCTGTAGATTTAGCCCCACACAGCCAAAATGGTATGTGTATAAGGTTTTCATTTCATTATTTATAAAATAGAAGATTAGAATCATCTTAAACACCCATCAGTAAGGAACTATGAAATCACACACAAACATAAAACTGAGTACTATGCAATTAGAAACAAGAATGAAGAAGTGAATTGGCTCAGTATGAAACAATCTCTAAGATACATTGGTGAGTGAAAAATAGCAAGGTGTGGCCAAAGATGACACACAGGAACTTGGTGGAAGGGGGACAGAGGTGGAAAGGAGACTTGTCACTGTGTACTCTTTTGTACCTTTTTGAATATGACACCAACAAAAACAATGTTTTTTAAGTAAACTGAGGCTTGAAAATGCAGCTAAAAGGCCCTGCCCTTTTTTTTTTTTTTCTTGAAAATTGGGGAGCATGAGGTAAAGAGGACTTCTAGGGAAAGGTAGTAGCTGGCTGAACAGAAACCACCCCACTGCTTCCCAATTAACACGATGCTGAGAGGTCTTGGCATTTAAAAATGCTTTCTTTCTTTTAAAAAAAAATTGCCAGAGGGTGCATGTGCTTGGGAGGGTTCTTTCTCACCCCACATTGGTCATACCGCAATCCCTTCTCCTCCATCTCTCCCTCCTTAGGATTTTGGGCATGGACACAGACATGCCCAACATGTTTCTCAAGCTGCCAGATCCAGGACTCGAACCCCACAGTACACTATGTGGGATCCAGCCACCTTAAATGAGAAGCAGCTTGCTTTCTCATTTTCCTTCTCTCTCTGGTCAACTTCAAAAAATAAAAAACAATGAAAATGAATAAAGTTTAATAAAATAATTTTTAAAATAATTACAATAAAATTAAATAATTCTTTTTAAAAATTTCTTTTCTGATCTCTAATGTTAGCAGTATTTGTCCTTCATCTTGTTCTAAGAAATGGCTATGAGTTAAAACTACTCCAATCTGACTCACCTTTTCTCAGTGTTCAACCACTTGAGCCCTATATTCAATGTGTCTCCCAAAATGCTCAACACAGGATGTCAGGAACCAATATGGGAGGGACGCCAATTTGCTGTACATTTCCTCATCTCAAACTGCCTTAGGCGCCTCTCCCAAATAACCGACTTTGGGTTGTGCCAGGCTCCAGGGCTGCCCATCTCAGTGACTGGCACCACCACACCATCCCGTCAGTAGTCCAAGATAGAAACCTATGAGTCACTCTCCACACTTCCCTCTCTGTCAGTTCATTGCTGAGTCCTGTTAATTTCTTTTGCTAGAGGGTATGTGCCCTCGCCAGAGAGACAGAGACAGAGAAAGGAGAAAGCACCTCCATGGGAGATGGTTACATTGTAATCCTTTCTCCCCCATCTCTCCCTCCTTTTGGGATTTTGGACACACATTCACATGAGCCTGTTATGTTTCTCAGGCCTCCAGGTACAGGACTCAAACCACATGGTCAGCCATGTGTGACCCGGCTGCCTTAACCACCAGGACACAGAGCCAGCTTGAGTCCTGTTAATTTTATCCCCTAAAGATTTCTTTTTTTAATTTTTCTTTCCGTTTACTATTTATTGTCTGAGGGTGTATGCACTTGCTAGAGAGAGACAGACATGGCAAGAGGGAGCGAGGGAGAGCAAGAAAGTACCCCCAATGGGGTGGCAATCCCTTCTCTCCTGCCTCTCCATCCTGCTGGGATTTGGGGCATGCACACACAAACACACAGTGTATTCTTTAAGCTGCAAACTGCACAGTTAGCCATGTGGGATTTGGCTCCTCTAAGCACCAAGCCACAGGGTCAGCCCTCTAAAGAGTTCCTGAATCTACTTCTCTCCATTTCCTCATCTACCACCACTATTCCCTGTCCAAGCCACCATCTTTTTTCATCTGACCTACTGCAGCAGCCTCCCAACTGCTCTCCCCACATCCACTCTAATCTCCTTGTCACTATCCCCTAAATAGCCACAACCACCTCTTTAAAATGCATCTTAGACCATTACTGTCTGCCGAAGACTCTTCAGTGGCTTCTGGCTGCTCCTGGGGTACACGCAAAAACTGCTACCTGAGACCTGCAATGCTATGGGAAGTCTGCTCCCCAACTACCTTGCCAGCCTTTCCCATGCTGAGCTCCCAGGCCTGTGATCCTGCCATACTCACTCACCTTCTCTCAGTTTTCCACCTTAGGCATCCACCTTTGCCTGACAACTGTGTAAGCCCCGCCCACACCACAGCTCACCTACCCACACTTCCCATCTGCTGATCATTTCCTCAGATTATCATTTCCTCAGGAAAGGCTTTCCCAACCCACTGGCCTAGTCAAAGCCCTCTTTTTGTTTTAGCTTTTGCTACAGGGTGTGTGCACTCACCAGAGAGAGACAGAAAAAGAGAGACAGGCAAAATGAGAACTCATTCCACAGGGGAATGGATATGCCACAATTCCTTCTCTTCCATTCTCTTCTTGGGATTTTGGGCATACACACAAGTGCCTGGTGTATTTTCCAAACTGACAGGTCCAGGACTTCAACTGTGCACTCAGCCATGTGGGATCCAACTGCCTTAACCACCATGACACCTGACTGGCCCCAGAGCCCTCTTTTACATGCTCATACACCACCATGTACCTTCCCCTTTGGTAGTAATATAGCCACTGGAGGAGACAGTCAGTTATTCGAGTAATTCTGATCATAGTATCACCTTATATAGTGCTAATAAACAAATGCAGCCAATTACATTATGATACCCCATTCATTCTGTGCATGTGTGCATGTGTGCATGAGTGTATGAGGACACATGCACTTGCCAGAGAGAGACAAAGAAAGAGGGAGAGAAGACAGTATCCCCACCCCCAACAGGAGATGGTCACACTGTAGTCCTTTCTCCTCCATCTCTCTCCCTCCTTTCAGGATTTTGGGTATACACACATGTGCACCCAGCATGTTTTTCAAGTCACCAGGTCTAGATTTGAACATATAATAAGCCATATGGGATCTGACTACCTTAACCAACAGGCCATGGGGCTGGCCTGATACACTATCTTTTTTTTTGAGAGGTTTTTGCCATAGGGCACATGCGCTTGCCAGAAAGACAGGGAGAGACAGAGAGACAGCGAGAAATCACCCCCCAGGGGGGATGGCCATGCCGCAATCCCTTCTCCTCCAGTCTCCTCTCGGGATCTTGGGCACGCACGCACACGCACCCGGTGTGAGTTTATGCTGGCAGGCCCGGAACTTGAACCGCGGTCGACTACACGGGAGTCCAGTGACATAGTCATTACACTAACTGCTGGTCCCAATTTTTTTCTTTGTTGTTATAGGGCATGCGTGCTTACCAGAGAGAGGGAAAGCGAGAAATCATGGCCACACCAAAATCCCTTTTCTTCCATTCTCCTTTCAGGATTTTGGGCATACATGCACACATGCCTGGCATGATTCTCAAGCCACCAGGTCCGGGACTCAAAGCACAGTCAGCCATGTGCGAATCCCATGCCTTAACTACTATGCCAGGCATCTTACTGATTTTAAGATGTATCCTAGTATCAGAAATGTGAATCTTAAAATTAATGAAACATAATATCTGCGGCCCCCACAGGACTGAAAACTCTAAGAGCCAGGGGCTATACCCTATTCCCACTGCACTTTCTTCCCATCCCTCCATAGGCACACAGTAGGTGCTGTATTTGTTGACTTAATAACTGAATGGTCTTTGCAATTACCACAAAACAGCAGGGAGTCATTGGTAAGGCCTACTAGTTACTCAGGGAACATAGAATGTCAGAGCTAGAGGGGACCAGACCTTGGCAATCCCTAAGGTAATCCCCTCTTTTCACACAAGGGGGAACATGATCAGTCCTCCAATTTATGGGTTCCACATTCACCAATTTAATCGACCATAGGTAGAGAATATTTTTAAAAATAATTGGTTTCATTGAGCATGTACACTCTTTTCCTTGTCATTATCCCCTACACAATACAGTACAGCAACTATTCACATGGCACTTACATTGTACTAGGTGTTATAAGTAATCTAGAGAGGACTGGAAGTATACAGGAGGATGTATGTGGGTTATATGCAAATACTTCACCATTTTATATAAAAGATAAAGCATCTATGGATTTGGCTACCCATGGAGGAGGTGGTCCTAGATCCAGTCTGCCCTCCACTGTCCTCCCTTAAAAGCAGTTTCTGCTGCAGGAGGCAGGTCTGTTTTCCATTTTAGTATATCTCCTGCAACCCAAGTGGCTGAATCAGCAAGGATCCAGTATTCCCCTGCCTGAGAACCAACCATGGCTCCCTGCTGCGTGTCCTACAATACCTCTCCTCTAACATTCAAAGTCTTTCATGGAAGCCCATCCACACTCTTCTCAGCTCACCCTGACTCAATGGTTTACTTCCTCCTCTCTGTATAGCTAGATGATCCTCATGTTTTATTTCACTTTGTCTCCTGCTTTGTTCAAGATGGTTAAATATTCACTTCAGGTTACCTTTACGACTATCCTTTACATATACGTGCATTCCTACCTACTCCGACCTCTTTGTGTGTCCTCAAGATAAATGTCGCACTACTTTGCAGAGTGACACGCCACTCTGTGTTTCTTGGGCATTTCATGTGGGGCTGCCTGTCTCCCCACTTAAGTGGGGCTTTC